GTCAGGTAGATTAGAGGTCATGGGCCATCTTAGTATAGCTAAAGCAGGCTCAGGACCTGTTGGCAGAGGGCAGCCACCAGCTTTCTCTCTTCCTCTCTCTTAGGCCTCTCAGTTGAGGGTCTTGTGACAGTATGTAGGACACAACTGTTTCCATTTTGTGAGCTGGGCCTAGACAGCAGATTCTGCCCATATTATCTGTATGGGGTCTGCTTGATGGTCTGCACAGGGCTGATTCTGTGCTGCCTTTGCCTCGGTGGCCTCTCTGAAGTGCTTTGCCCTTTGACAGGATGCTCACGAATTATTCCATGTCATTACCTCATCACTGGAAGATGAACGAGACCGCCAGCCACGGGTCACACATTTATTCGATGTACACTCCCTGGAGGTAAACTATCAACATTTTCAATATGTTCAGAGCAGCTTGTGCATATTTAATAAGCATAGGAATTGCAAGTATAATCTTTGTACAGCCTTAAACTAGAATGTAAGGTTTCAGTAAAAATTAGTAGTGGGGTAGTGGCACCCATAGCTCAGTGGGTAGGGCGCTGGCCACATACACTAAGGCTGGCAGGTTCGAGGGTTCCAACTCAGCCAGGGCCTGCTAAACAACAATGACAACTGCAACAACAACAAAAAATAGCTGGGCGTTGTGGCAGGCACCTGTAGTCCCAGCTACTTGGAAGACTGAGGCAAGAGAATCACTTAAGCCGAAGAGTTTGAGGTTGCTGTGAGCTGTGACGCCACAGCACTCTACCTAGGGCAACATTAAAAAAAAAAAAATCCATGATGGGAGTGAAGCCAGGTGCAGGTCTTAAACTACATACTTGCAGTTGGTGACTTTGGTTAGGGATCTAAGGCTCTTTAAAATGATTTGCGGCTGCAGTTTGTGTTGGCTTTGATAAGAGTGTATTATTTTTTCCTACTTACTAGAGGAAAATGAGGGGCTATAGAAATGCTGAATGAGTCCCTATTTCCCTGTAATGGTATAAATATTTGGGAAGTTGATAAAAGTTAACCAGTAAAGAGAGAAAATATTCTAGATGGAGGAAGGAATACAGTGCATATGCATAGTAAGCAACCAGCAAGGATAACTAAGGCTGCTTTTAGAAACAGGGGTTTTGTTAAATGTTGATTCAGTGGTGCAGTCAGCACTGAAATTTATGTAAGATTTCAGGGTAGGTGAGGGTGATAAAAGGAATTGTTATGGGGTTTTCAGTCTTTCTTTTTTTTTCTCCTGCAGCAGCAATCAGAAATAACTCCCAAACAAATAACCTGCCGCACAAGAGGTACTTGTTTTCCATTGAAATGTAACACTTAAGATGTGTACTTTTTAGATATGACAATAATTTCCTTGTTTAAAAAGATTTTTTTTTTTT